GCAGTCAGCAGTTGCTGGTGTCATTCAGGACTCATGATGCCAGGAGACCAGCTTGTCAGTGACGTATTCACATCTTTGGAATCAATACTTTCCCACTCCAAGTGTTCACTTTAGAAGCACTTTAACACTTTTCACCATGACTCTTAATGATTTCAAAGCGTTTGAATATTTTTCCTTAACCAATTAAATCCGTGCCTTTGCTTCCTCAATATCTCTACCTCACACTTCTGTTACATTTCAGCAGCTGTGCCTTTCTCCTCTCATGTGGCTGCTTAATATTAGGGTGACTACTCAGTAGATCTAAGAAAATCTCCATTGGCTTCTGCTCCCTGTGTGTTGTATGTACATCTTTATGGTATGTTCCGAGTGGCAGTATGTATCTTCAGTTTCATTCACTCCCAAGCCCTTACAGCTCAGTTCAGTTATACTGTATTTCTACTCTGCTGAGCCACTTCAGTAACGGCGTTGCCAGAGAATGGCAGGTTCTGAAAATAATTTTGAAAGGGGCATCTGCAAGTCTGGCAATAGGAAGAGATTCCTTTTACTTTGTACCTGAGTGCACTCAATCTTCATTGCTGAACTTGCTTTTGTTATTAGCAATTAGGAAAAACCCTGTAATACAGTCATTGTAATGCTGTCTTTGCTTTTAACAATGCAGGTGACTCAGTGGAACTAAGCTGGATAGAGGCAGCCTGCATCAACCAAAGTATTTAAAACTGCTGCCTTATAAATGTGGAAGTGGATGTGGCAAGAAGAACTGGAATAGGCTGTGTGAGATCAGGGAGAAGCCAACTGTTTGCTTTACTGATGGAGTAAAGTGTTAGGATAACAGAGGGAACAACTTGGTTAATTTGGGTCAGTTTGAATTACCAGCTGAGAAGAGCAATGGGAAATTAACCTGCTTACAAGCAGCTTAATGTAGTATCTCTGAATTGTTATATAAGTTACTCTGGTTAGGAAATGTCTTCTTGTGGTTGTTACAGTTCTTCAAAGCAACCAAACTCTTGCTGTCATAAGTGAATGGGTCTTTAGAAAAGCTTTATGCGATTGCTCAGAGTGTTTTAGTTGCCTGCTTGCCCTCAGGTTTTGTGCACCTCTGATCCACCAAGCTTATTTCACCAACTAATGTCTCTTTCCTGGCATATGCAAGTACAAGATATGCATTTTGTTCTTAGGGGGTTACTGTGGTGTTTGTGCTTTATCTTCTACATCGAGTAGCATCTAAATATCCTGATGTAAAATCTATTTCAATTTCAGTGCTGGGTTTCATGTATGTATGTATGTATAAGGATATACATGTGTGTGTAAACAGGGTCAGAAGAGGAAAAAATGAACTGGAGTGTGCTAAAACAAGTAAGCTGTACAGGGATTTGCTGTTACAGTTGTGCTGCTTCCAGGATACCTGCTACATTTCCATGTCAGTGTCTTAGCATCTCTGGTTCCAATGGGCAGTATTCCAGTTGCAAGCTCTGGTTAAAATTAACAGGCTGGAAATGAAAGTGGGTCTTTTTTGTTTGTTTTTTTTAGGGTTTTTTGTTGTATTTTGCTGGGTTCTCAGCTAATTTAGTTCATGTCTGTAACAACTTTGCCCAATTGAGTTCAACTGTATTTGGAAGGTGTTTGCATAGGAATCTTTAGGCTCTTTTGGAGGGTGCGGAAGAGAAGGGTCAGAACAGACTTTTGTCCTTGAACCTGATTGCTTCTCAGTGAGCATCATTCAGTGTTAATTAACACTGCTCTGAGAGACATTCCTGTGGCAGTCAGCACTATGACTGAAATGTTGTGGTGGGATTCGTGTTGAGGATGGCTTCATGAAGTGAGGGTAGAAGTTCTCAAGTGCATATGGTAATATATATTGTGCCTAATGGTAATTTACTGAAACATTGCCTTTGTGGACAACATACATAATGAGAAGTGCCTTTTGTACTCATAGCATACAGACCTTTCTTTTCAGTTTTGGTTTAAAGAAACTTATAGTCACTGTATTTTTTTTTAGCTGTTAAACTAGTGTGCAACCATGCAATAAAAAAGCACAGCAACCTGTGTCTGTATTTCATTGTGCAGTTAAGCTCTCCAAGTTAGAAAGGAGATTCTCCATCAAGAAAATAATTCCTCCTTCAGAATGACCCAGTTCATTATGAGTGGAATATGATCAGATGTCAGCCTTTGATGCTTCAGTCTGTGAAAGGCTCTGCTGCACTGTATTGTAATTGGAATGAAAGCACAATGAACTCTGTGTTGCAGCCGTGCTGATGGATGTCCAGTTATCTGCTCCATTGGGATAGATGCAGCATGCTGCCTGCAAGGAGATTCCAGGCTTGAAGTTCCGAGCTGCCTTGTTTCATATTTAGTGTTAAACTCAACCTAAAAACTGTCAGCTAAGTTCCTTTCTCTGTTTTCACTGTAATTAGTGTTGATAAAACTGAATAATTTGATGTGTGGTGCAGCTCTCGAGGAGTTTCACGTGTAGTGATTTTGCAGTGCTTCTACTTCAAGGTGGTATGAATCTTATTGAACAATCAGGAAAAAAAAAAAAGCTTTAATTTATTAAAATAAATTGCTTTTATCAATAACAATTGGCTAATAAATAAATACAAATTCATCTAGTTGACCTGTAGTAGCCAGGCTGAGGGCCTGGGTATCACATAGATACGTTGTGCTAAGCTGAGATTATTCCCACTTCTTTTGGTGGGACAGTAGGAGACCATTTCTGGTGAAGGGATTTGAGCCCTATGAGTGGTTGCAGACCATACTGACCGTTCTTTGGGGGCTGTCCAGAACAGTAAGCCATTTCAGTGGGAAGAAAGGATGAGAATAATACCAGCTCCAGCTCTACTGTTGCAGTTTGAGGATTCCAGAAGCTACCACCCATTCCACTTTGCCCAGCAAAGAAGCTTAGGAGGTCTTACTGTGTTTGTGTGTGTAGATAGATAGTATATGTGTAGTACAGCTGAGCTGTTTGCTGAAGAAATTTATTTTTTGGTTTATTTGGTTCCAGTGGGCTCTCTTACTTTGATCAAGGCAGCTGCGAGATGTGCGTTAATTCCAACAAATGGCCAATTTACTTCTGGTATTGGTAATTAATGTCTTGCTTGCTCTTGCTTTTCGATGGGACAAAATTGAGGTGTCTGAATGTTAACGTGTGGAGAAGTGGCTGTGTAATCAAATTGCCTTCAGAGGTGCTGCAGAACAACTTGGGGGCCTGAAAAGTTGGTGGTCAGAGCTGATAATCACACGATAATCCCACTTGTGAAGTGCTTGGTGGACAGAAGGCGCCCTGTGAACACACCTGAATGCTGCAAACTGCGGAGCAGGTATTTTCCCAGCCCAAATGGACAAACAGCTGCAAGATAACTCAGGTTAGTGGGCAATACAGCCGTCTGTGGGTGACTTCAGGTGGGGCAGTGGTGCTCAGCTGCTTCTTGAGCCCAGGGTTTCCAAATGGCAACGGTGTAGAAACTGAGCTTGAGATCTGCAAATTCTTAGTGGTCGTTCTGTTTACAAGTTGCTTTTTGGACGAGCTGGGTGCGGGGAGGGAAAGGTGATCGCATGCCTTTGAAAGCTAGTGGGAATTGTTGCTTTCTTAGTACGGATGCTGAACTGAGCAAGGCAGTTTGAGGTCTGCGTGTTGCTGTGGCTCACAACCACTAGGTGTCACGTTCTGACAAGCTCTCCCAAAGCTGCTGAACGGAGCCCTGCGTTCCTCCGCTGCCTCAAGGGAGTTCCAATGTCACTGTCCAGTGTGAGCGACCTGAAAATGTCACTCAAATGTTACAGCTTGCCTCCAAAACGCTGACCTGGCTCTTCTCGAAGGTATCTTCCAGAAACGCCCTGACCCACCCTGATGCCTGGAGCTGGTTGGACCTGCCTGGAGGAGCGTGGTTTGGGGAGGAAGGGCACTGAGCCTTGGTTTGGGAGCCTGGATGTGACTTCATGTGTGATGCCTGCTACCCTGCAGCTGGGACACTGCTCCTCCGAGGTACCACTTCCCACTCACAGTGAGGATGCTCACTGCCAAGTGTGGGCTCCTGGGTGCTAAACTCGTCTCCTATCCTGCAAAGACAGGAATTTGTTACAGGATTGGCTCCTCTGGCTCTGTTGTGAAGTTGCCAAGAAAGTCTCCTTGGATGCAGATCCTGTGCCTTTGCTGAGGCAGTGTGATGGAAACTGCTTGTTCTGCCTGCCTGCTTGCTAGGTTGGCAGGAACTGTTGTGAATTTATCTTTTCAGTGTAAGAAGTGAGGGCAGATTTCAGCAGTGCCTCTGCAGACATGCAGGCAGCTGGAACGTGGCCTGTGTTTGAGTCAAACATGGTATGTAGAAAAGCGCAGTGAGCACAGTTACAGAATGGCCAGGGCTGGAAGGGACCTCAGGGATCATGAATCTCCAACCCCCTGCCACATGCAGGGCCACCAACCTCCACATGTAATGCTAGACCAGGCTGCCCAGGGCCCCATCCACCCTGGCCATGAACACCTCCAGGAACAGGGCATCCACAGCCTCTCTGGGCAGCTGTTCCAGCACCTCACCAGTCTCTGTAAAGAACGGTCAGCACCCTGAGATCAGATGAGGCTGCGGGATTTGGGTGATGTAGGCTTTGCAGAATTGGTTCCCCCTCCTCCTCCGCCATGTTCTGCTGTGTAAGAACCCAGCCTGAGCCGGGTAACACGACTCCCCGCCTGGCCGGCGGCCCTGCGGTCTTCCAAGAGCCGGCGGCTGAACGGGGACACCGCTTCGCCGGCTCGCTTTTCCCCATCGCCCACCTTAGGGGGGAGAGCGCGGAGCTCGGCGCTTTCCCGAGGCGGCACCGTGCGGGGCCGCAACCGGTTCTCCTTCCTCCTCCTTCCTCCTCGTCCTCCCCCCGCCAGGAGCCCGGCCCCTCCGCGGGCATCTCCCCGCCTCACCGGGAGGCGCTCCCCGCACGCCGCCCACCGCCGACGGAACAAAAGGGGCGGCTGCATGGTGGCAGCCGAGCGCCCGGCTGCGCCCGCTCCGCTCCGCGCCCCGCCACGATGTCGGGCAGCGGAGGCGGCAGCAGCGCGGTGAAAAAGAGGAGCCCGGCGGGCTCGGCCTCCTCCATGGCGCAGGAGGAGGAGAAGCAGGCGATGGAGAAGATGCTGGAGGCGGCTGGAGGCGCTCAGGAGAACGGCTGCGCCCGCACGCCTTCTCCCACCGCCGCTCCCGCCGACGGTGAGGGGGTGGCCTTGCAGCGCTCCATCACGCTGATCAACGGCGTGGCCATCATCGTGGGGACCATCATCGGCTCCGGCATCTTCGTCACCCCCACCGGGGTGCTGCGGGAGGCCGGCTCGCCGGGGCTGTCGTTGGTGGTGTGGGCCGTCTGCGGGGCCTTCTCCATCGTGGGCGCTCTGTGCTACGCCGAGCTGGGCACCACCATCACCAAGTCCGGCGGGGACTATGCCTACATGCTGGAGGTGTACGGCTCCCTGCCCGCCTTCCTCAAGCTCTGGATAGAGCTGCTCATCATCCGACCCTCCTCGCAGTACATCGTAGCTCTGGTCTTCGCCACCTACCTGCTGAAGCCCATCTTCCCCACCTGCCCGGTGCCTGACGAGGCTGCTAAGCTGGTAGCCTGCCTCTGTGTCCGTAAGTAGCCCCGCGACCCCCGCATTCTCCCCTGTTCCTGCGGGCTCCCGCTGCCCCACGTGGCTCCTGCCTACCATCTTCTGCCTTCCCCAACCCGCCCATGCCGGGGGCTGCTCCCTTTTCTCCTTTGCCGTGCAGTGCGGGTTGATTTTTTAATTGATTTTTTGGGGACAATATGAGTAGAAGACCCCATCCCCGATAATCCAAGCGAAAAAATAAGTCCCTATCTGGCATTCAGGGCTGGGGAACCATTAGGATTGTCAGAACCGCAGCAGAGCAGCGTGCTGTAAATGCAACGTGTTTGTGCACTGCAGTGGGGTTTCTATGGCCCCACGGCAGGGCTGGGGACTGCCGTTCATGGGGCTCTGCTGGGCAGCCCTCTGTCTGTCACAGCTGATGTCCATCACGGGCAGCACCAGCAGCCGGTGCTGAATGTGGTGCTGCACCGCCCGGCTGTTTTCAGCACTGCTTTTAAGTCGGTTCCCTGCTCTGCTTTCGTGCTTGAGAAGTAGGCTTTGGGTTTGTAGTTTTTGGGTATTGGGGTGTTTGGTTGTTGTTGTTGTTTTGGCCGTGTTTTGGCTAGCAGATGCTATTTCTCATGACAGTTGTCTCTCCAAGGAGTTCAGCGTGCCATGATGCATTTTGGGCCATCAGTGTCTCTGCTATGGCAGATGCTGCTGTAGTCCTCTGCTTTTTGAGCTCTGGTGCTGTCAGTGCAGCCTCATTTTTCTTTCCTCTGTGACTGCGAAGTCACCCCATCCAGATTCCCCATTTCATAAATACAGGAGAGTTTTCTGCCTTTCCTAGACCATCAGCATCCTGTTCTATTGATAGCTCCTGTGCCATTGTGAAGACGTGCGTTCCCATAAGATACTGCCTGTTGGTGAGGGCTTTATGAAGCATTTATTTGGTGCCTGGAGTTCATGCTTTGTAGCTTTGGGGCTGTGGGGAAGGCTCTGCCACGCGAGGGGAGGCTGTGTTAGATTCTTTCACCTCTGGAGATTGCAGGCATTCACAAGTTGCCATCATTGTGGGGTGATAGGTTATCTGTAAATGTCTTCATACACAAACTGACCAAGTCTTTGATGCATATTTGACATTCCTTGCTAGCAGATAAAATAAGAAACAGCCAGGGCAGCAGACTGTGCATTTCTGGGGGCAAGACTGAAACTTACTGACTGGATCAATTTTTCATCACATCAAGGCAACTGGGCAGATGTTCGGGCTTTTCTTCCAAGCCATTAACAAAATGGAGTGTGTCTATTAACAAAAATATAGCCTCCCATCTCATAAAGATGCAGCAGGCTTAGAAAGCAGCTCTGCTGGTTGGTTCCTTGCACGCTGGGATAAAATCTGCTTTTACGTCTTTCTTGATCATATGCAACATTTTCTTCACTGACACAGAAGAAGGTGTGCATGCACTTGGGGTTCACCTGGTTTATTTGCTGAGAAGCCAACAGCGTTAGGGAGCTGATTGCATTGAGTTTCTTACCGTTTCATGTCCAAGTTGTGCAGTGCAAGGCCATGCTGAGTTGATAAAATCTTTGTGTCTTTACCAATACCCGACTTTTCATCTGCAGGAGCTTTGCCGGAAGACTTGGGCTCAGGTGTTTCTGTTTCTATTTTGCTGATCAGAAAATAGATATGGGGGGAAATTGCCCACGGCAAGATGTCTTCATCCATGGGATGGATTGCATCATGAATCTTGAGGCCAGGTCTCCCTCTTGCTTTTGCTTCTCTGATAAGTACTATCAGTGTCTGCAATATCCTTACACTAGCAATTAGTTTTCCTGCAGCAGAGTTTGTTCTTGAACCTTTACATTGAAAGAACAAGGGTAGAGTTGCTAGTCCTATAAATGTGCATCCTTTTCATGCATTTCTTCTTTAAACCTTTCTCCTCACAACCCCTGGTTAGCATTCTGTTTGGGTTAAATCTCTGTCTCCGTTGCTTTGCAAGGTTAGTTCATCGTGCATCACCTTCAGCAAGTCAGATCTCTGTAACTTTGTTTTCTGGAGCTAGCTTTCCTACTGCCTGGTGCCAAAACCACATCATGAGATGGGAACAACAAACGAAGTAAATCTGGTCCGAGGGCTGAGTTACACAAAGCTTCGATGCACTTTCAAGGCACTTTGTTGTGGGGTTGTTCCAAACACCCACAGCCAGCGACTCTGTTTGTTTTTCCAGGAGCTCTGGGATAGGAGAGGTGACCCATTTGGGCATGTGCTCTGCAGTGTGTGTTAGTGATAGAATGGTTTGGGATATCTCAAAGGGGGAAAGAGTGAGTTGGGAAGGAGCAAGGGAATTTGGGCCCTGCACAGTTGACTTGCTATGCAGCCAACACTCAACCTCCAGAAGAGCACCAGCTGTATTCTTTGCAAAGCTTGTGTCTGGACATAAAATGCAATTGAGTGTATGGTTTCTGTAAGAGGAGAATTACAAAGTAAATTGTTTTGACTGCACTTATTACTGGTGTTGAAGAGTTGAATGAGTTACAGTGGCAAATCCCCACCAACACCTGAAAAACAAATTGAATTCCTGGGCATTAAGATGATGTGAATAAATCACGGTCTTGAAAGAAAGAAAAAACAGTTGGAATAGGGAGCTTGGTTCCTCGTGAAGCACTGAAGAAAACAAAGTGGGTGGTAAGCAGATTTTAACTTCAAATGGATAATTTCTGCAATCAGGGTTGTAATCTGCAGTTGGTATGCAGGAGTTACTGCACAAGATGTTACAAATGCTCATTAAGGTTGCCAAACAAGTGCAAGAATCCATTGGAAGAAAGTCTTCCTGTAGAAAGATGGGTCAAGCTGTTCATCGTTAATTTGGGTTATTTTACATTCGTTGCACAACAGCTCGTGCTCTGTGGCTGTAAGAATCTGTGGATGGTGGGTTTCAGCCAGTAGGTTACTTGAGCAGCTTGTGGCCATATCGACTGCGTGTCATTTAGTGTGTGAGATGGGATGTCTGATGGTCCTAGGGCTGAGAAGTCATGAATGTTACCCCTTTTACAGAGGGTGGAGGAACGGTTACTAAGTCCTGACTTCTCATAGTTAATGGCATCTGTGTTATAGTATCACTATCCTGATACTATTATATATATAAAATATATATATAATGTATGTAGGTAATATATGTACTATTCTGACCAGCTAAGGAGCCTGCTTCATGTACTATCAGGTGTGCATGTGTTTAAATGAGGATCCATCATATTAATTTGGTGGTTCCTCTGGTAATAGTCTAGATAATGGTGTGAAACAGCATCCATCTGAATGCACATCTCTGCTATCTTCGAGGCTCAGATTTGTGTTTACAATTGGCTGCTGCTTGTTAAATTTCACAGATTGGAGCTGATGATTCTTAAGAAAAAAATTGAAATTTACAGGGCACAGCCTGGGATGCAGTCCAAAGATAACATGCATATTTTGTATTTCCAGCTGTTAATTTAAAGGCTTCCTACATCTGATAGGACTTCCAAGTGTCGTGCATTAAATTCCCTATAGAGGAGGGAGATGGGATAATGGTACTTCCAGGCATGAACTGGTTTTTGACTGGTGTTTCACATGTCCTAAGCTGTTCTTCCTGCATACATCCTCACACCCCGCCTGCCCTCCCACCCAAGTGCTGCATAACAGGTTATTCTATAATTCCCTTATTTCTTGGCAGTGTCATCTGCTCCCTGAAAGCTTGAGGAAGCAGCCAGTTGCATCTAATTTTACCCTTCGGTATCAAACGGCTGATTTGACTGTTAGCTTCTGAAACCCTCCATTGCTTGTCAATTATATATGCTAATCTGGCGCTAAGAGCCCAATATTGCTGCAGCAGTATCTGCTCCTGCCAAGGCTACGATGTTTTAATCTTCTTTCCAAGTTCTTTAGACCTCCTTTGCTGCTTCTAAAGCATTATTTTGGACAGTGCCGCGAGCGTGGGATTCCAGGAACATCATCACACATTCATCTCTTCTGTTATGAACGACCTAAGAAGAATTAGGAGCAGTCCGTGCAGAGCTGAGTCGTGCCCATAGCACGTGCTGTGTGGAAGTGCCTGCCACTGCCCTGAGTGTGCTGTGAGTTACAGGAGGGGAATGGCATCAAATCCAGTGGTTGACGGGAGTGCATCAGTGTGTGCCTTGAATGCCTTCCAAATTACAGTCCATATTCAGTGGCTGCACGTGTTGCAGGCAGGATGTCTTTTATCTGGTGCTGATATCTTACTTCAAGTCTGTTTGGCCAGTTGTTTAGAGTGAAGCTGTGGGCGGATTTTGAGCTCTTCAGGCAAGCAAAGCAAGCACAAAGTGCATCTTGCACTTGTCTGCTCAAGGTAGGTTCACTCTGCAGCATGGAATTAACCTGCCGTGCTGAGCAGGTTGTGAAGCTTTGAAGGCTTCTTTTTTTCCTCTTCCAGAAAGGTGGATTAGGTAACTAAGCTGCGTCTGTAAATACAGACCTGTTTGATCAGGTTGGAAGGAAGGGGTCTTTGCAGAATCCCTGCTGTATGGCTAATGCTGCAAGGCAGAGATTGCTTTCTTAAATCTGCATTTAATTAGAGAGAGTAGCATTAATGAAAACAGCTTCTGACACTCGTAGGGCTCTCCTGAAATGGATGAGGGTTGGAGCACTCTTGTAACACAGCAAGCAGCTCCTGCATTTCTTGGCATCCCCCTCTTGGCTCTTACAGCAGATGTCCCATTAAATTTTATTGTATTTGAATGATTTACATTACCACTGAGATCCTTCCGAGTCTTGCTCTCCTAACATGAACAAATTGGGAAGGCTTTTGCAGAGAAACTCCCTGTGATCAGTCTAATTCAAAACAACGTGGCAGAGTGTTTCAGGCATCCCAGCAGCCTCGCAGTGTGGTGTCAGAGGTGGCCAAGGGAAGGTGCTTCTATGTGAGCACAGCGTAACCATGGGCCAGGTAAGAATCCACGTTTAGCAGGTCTGGCAGCTCTTGGCAGGGATGATGGTTGGATCTGTTGGACTCCGTGTGCGCATAAAATATT